AAATCATTGCAAAGATGAAGCCTGCCATCTACACCATCAGTTTTGGTATTTGATTGGCATTTAACAGGCAAACGGTTTTGAAAATCTGATTTTATGTATATAAATAACTGTGGATAAACCTTTGCTAAGGCGTATGGAGCTCAGACAATCATGGGAAAATATAGCATGAAGCTCCTTTTGATTATTAGTAGAGTAATAATAACCAGGAAGCCTAAACTGGCCGCTAATAATAGCTGACTTGTAACAGTGAAACTCTGTGACATGAAGAGGAGTGTAGCTGTTACAGGATTGTTTGATGGTGTTGATCTTTGTGTCGGTCAGACTGCACCGCGGGCAACATCACCGAAGCCACGATCGCAGACGCCTCGTTCCCCTTCGGCTACACCGCGGCCCAGTTTGACACCTGTCTGGCCGTGAGGGTCCTCAGAGATAACCTGGCGGCGGTCATGGAGAAAGTGGACGACAACGATTACCAGAGAATCATTCTGAGCAAGCTGAAGCAGGTGAGCGAGACGTGAGGCTCTGCCGCGTGTGGTCTGGCGAGCGTCGCTGTGTAACGCTGATGAACGCTGTGTTCCAGGTGTATCCCGCCGGTCTGTCCGACAGCGTGCTGCAGCTGCTCGCCTCTGTTTCACGCCAGGCCACGGTGCAGGAGATCAGGACCTGGAACATCACCACCATCGACACGCTAACAGCACTGATGGACCAAAACAATGGAGAATGGGTCAAAGACAAGGTGTGAGAGAGAGAGAGAGAGAGAGAGAGAGTGTGCGTGTGTGTGAGAGTGTGTGTGTGTATGTGTGTGTGAGAGAGAGAGAAGAGAGAGTGTGTGTGTGTGAGAGAGAGAGAAGAGAGAGTGTGTGTGTGTGTGTGTGTGTGTGAGAGAGAGTGTGCGTGTGTGTGAGTGTGTGTGTGTGTATGTGTGTGTGAGAGAGAGAGAAGAGAGAGTGTGTGTGTGTGTGTGTGTGTGTGTGAGAGAGAGTGTGCGTGTGTGTGAGTGTGTGTGTGTGTATGTGTGTGTGAGAGAGAGAGAAGAGAGAG